GTCGTTGTCCACAAGTCAGATCCACACTATCGCCTCTATGAAGACTGTCTCGCCTATTTGAAAACGGAGTATCCAGTCGACTCACTCACCTGCTCGCTGCCGAACGACATCGTCGATCAACCTGGTCTTGCCCACCTGCACCCGTCCTTCGGGACGCTCGTCAACCTCCTCGCAGACAGATATCCCAAACCAGATTTGGACAACCTGCCCGCGGGTGGTCTTCCTGTCACATTTCGTCGTAGATCCGTGGTCGACTTCATACTCTCCGGAATGCTAGCGGTCACGATAACATTAAAAAATCACGTCGCCTGCGCACTCCGAGAGTCGCCAAAGGAGACAATACCGTCCACCTTGTATCAAGCCCTCTTCCTGGACTGCATCACAGCCTTGTGGAGCTACGAGTGCTACCTCCGCGCCGGTACTGCAGATTGGTCGCCCATGCCGTGGTCGCGCGCGTCGCTGCGAGAATTGTCTGGACAAACTCTCGTCCCAGGTCGGTGACATTCCGTCCCCTTTCTTGAGTCCACGTCAATAACGGAGAGAATATAGAGCCACCACCTTACAGAACACCTACACTGAGCCTGGACGATCTCGCGGACGAACACAGCTCTGCGATGCGCGCCGCGCGAGCACTGGTCGGCTCTCCCATGGACATCCCTTGGCACGATGGCCTGCACGACGGGTACCCATTTTGCAGCACTCTATCCGCCTATACGAAGATTCTCCGGGACGGCGCCATCCAAAGTCTGCGGGACGATGCGTGGCTCTGGGTGAGTGCAATGACCCTTGGCGTTCTGGAAGCCGTCACCGCGCAGCGACAGCGGGGGTACACTGCGGAGGCTGAGCTATACTGTGACCAGTCATCTCTGGAACGATTCGTAACATAACAGGCGGTCTGCGGCTCATATCACGTTCCTACCTCGTTCCATTCACAGCTCATGTTCCGCCTCCATTCTCAGTCCCGTCAACGCCCTCCTTTCGCCGATTTGCAGCTTTTACGCACTTCTATGCCCTTGTTTCGTTGTGGATTTCACACGCGGTTTCTTCACTGTTGTATCATATATGTACTATCTGACTCGAATAGGCAGCGCCCTTCAGCAGATTGTTGAAAGAGCTATCGTCGGCAGGAAACCCGTCGGCGAGTATTCGTGAGGATAGAGTGTATGGCACAGCCACCGCAGTTACGTCTCTTCCTCCTACCGCCATACACATCTCAGGCGGTCACATCTTGGCTTTCGATACCCTCGAGATTGTACCCGAAATGGAGTATGACGGTGATGAGCTATTCGTGCTAGTACCGGCCTTTGCATGACACTGAATCCGCGTGGGCCTGTGGTGCCTGTTGGCCACTTTGGCTTGTTTCATCGCCCCCGACGCGCGGTCGAAAGCCGCTTCGAGCGATCGTGGACCTTTCATGGCTCAGAGACTGGTTTACGATGTGCAAGGGACGCCATGCGCTTGTTGATATCGATGGTCCTCACGGCATACTCTACGAGATCTATCAACCTGAGAATCTGGATGTCGACGTGCGAATTTTGTCACACGAGGTGCGCTCTATGTGCGCGCATAAATTTCCGGTGAAAGCTTTGATTTCTGCAATCTGATCCGATAAACATCTCACTGAACAGTTGTCAGGTATCTTGCGTACTAGCGATCTCTGCAATCCTCTGATCATTTCACCATCCTCTCTTGTCGACCTCTCAAACCCTACCGAGCGCAACCACTACGGCAATATGGAGTCGCACCCCACCCCACCCAAATCAGAGGGTGCAGAGCCGCTTCCTTCGAGTCCTCAGGGTGTCGTATACTTGTATTGGGAGCCACTCTTTCCCGGTGCGTCGTTCATGGACATGGTCACCGACGAATCCGACGTGCACTACCGTCTCTACCGCGAGTCACTACAATATATACGCTCGAACCATTCAAAAAGCTGGCCTGCATGTCAGTGCGCAACGCCGGATCATACGAGCACCTCCTTGGGTTGGACCTCCGATATCCCCCGGCGCTGTCAAGCCTTCGGCACTCTCATCAATATCCTCACGGACAAGTTCCCCAAATTCGAAGAGCTCTCTCCAGAGAGATTTTCACAGTGTTTTTCCGGCCACAAATCAGTCCTTGGCTTCATTTCCTTTGGCTTATTGATGGTTCGGACTGGATACAGGGTCAACACACACCTTACCTGCGCGATCCGAGCATCTCCGAATGATGCACGAACACCCCACCTATGCCAAGCACAGTTTCTAGACATCACTGTCCTTGCGTGGCTACAGGAGAGCCATAGGAGAGCCGTTCTGCATCCCTCGTCGCCGATGCCGTGGTCTCGGGAGTCGAAACAAGAACTCTTTTATACGCAAATTAGCACATCAGGTTAGAACCGTCCTTCAAGACGCTCCTCTTTCTCTTTGAATCATATTGATGCGCTTCTAGCTTCACTACAATACACGACGGCCGTTTTCCCTGACAGTCTTCCCAGCCCAAGCGACCCCCGTGTAAGAGCGATCCAAGCGTTCTGTGGAACACCCATCGATATCCCCTGGTTCGGAGCCACTCACGATGGGTTCCCCTACTGCGCCACACTAGCTCGTTATACACGAGTCCGTCGACGCCGGAGCATCAACCACAGCAGGCGTGACGATGCTGCGCTCTGGCTAAGCGCCATGACGTTTGGCCTCCTGGAAGCAGTGACACGCATGCGGATTCCCGAATCATTGTTCATCGTTCCTGGAGCGCGCGAGGGAGAGCGAGTACTGTCTGGCTCTCGTATCCATCAGTTCTTGTTGCACTTCTACTTCTCCAATTCCCGCGAGGACGACAGCGAAGAAGAGCGCGAGCACGGGAATCACATCGCAGTGCGCCTTGTCAGGAGGGCCCTACGCGCGCTTGACCAGGAAGCGACATGGCAGTCAGGTATATTCTTCCATGCGGGATACACCGAGCGCGATACGGACGACATAGTGTGCGCCATTGCATTCGCTATCCTGCCACTTTGCAGTGCAGCCTCAAGTTGCGTGCAGTGGCGACCACTCAAGCTCCCGTCGCTGCACAAGCTGGCGATCGAGGTGGGCACTCTCACTAAATCCCGTTACTTCCACCGCGCCGCCATCCGCTCCTGCCAGCAGAGGATGTACGACGCAGGATGGTGCAGAAGTATCGTTACGGACGAGTTCTTGGCCAAATTCATGAACCTCATGTTCATGTCAAACCTAGTACGGCTCCCGCCATACATCAGGGTCTCCGGCGACGAGCACAAAGACTGCACCGCGTCAGCGTGCGTCTTCTACACCATTGCCGACACCGATGCGTATGTCCCACGCCACGTCGACGCTGCTTGTCACTGCGATTACATCCGCCCCCCTATCGAAGAGATCACGAAGCTGCTCCGCGATGGGATTATCCCTGCGGTTGTCTACGATGGGGCTTTCCTCCGTGTCCGACCCGCAACGGAAGGCTCATACGTCGCGATCTCCCACGTATGGGCAGATGGGATGGGGAGCACCACCGAGGATGGCCTGCCTGCCTGTGTGGTGAAGAGGATCGCATCGCTCGTTCAAGGCCTCCATCCGGAGACAGGCGCGTTCTGGATGGACTCGCTGTGCGTACCCGACAGCCGCGACGTGCGGAAACGTGCGATCAAGCTCATGACACAGACGTATCGTGACGCTGCGAGCGTCCTCGTCATTGACAATTGCATTCGCGCACAGTGCTCCGAGAAGAAGCCATGGGACGAGAATCTGTTCGGGATATCGACGTCCGGATGGACTCGGCGTGTCTGGACGTTGCAGGAGGGGTTATTGAACTCTAGGCTGTACTTCGAGTTCCAAGAAGGCCCCGTGAACATCGAGGACCAGGTCTGGATCAAGAAGCGCGGCCGTACAGAGTCGGACATCTACACGCCGTGGGTCAACCCTCGGGAGGCGTTGCAGCACTGGTCTCTGGAAGAGGGTATGACATTCATATGGTGTCTCTCCCACCTGCCCTTCCTTTCTTTCCGTGCACGATATGATGTCTGGAAGGCCGATGCTACGCTCGACACCTTCCGGTGGGAGCTCATCAGTCTTCTCATCCTCCGCGGAACGACCAAGGCCGAGGACGAAACCGTCGCCATCTCTGGTATTTTGTCCCTCAACGTCGACGCGTTCCTCGCAATCAATGGTCCGGATGCCGCACAGGAACGGATGAAAGAGTTCCTCATCCAACTCGCGCGGGTACCCAGGGTGCTCCCAGTACATACCATGCCGCGCCTGGAGTTGCCAGGGTTCCTGTGGGCACCTCGCTCACTCACAACGGTTCCCCCTGGAGCCTTCCGGGACGACTCAGGCGGACAGGCCTTCTGCGCGCCCTTTGGCCTCCTCGGCGAGTATTTTATTGCCCCTCTACGACAGCCGTATACCCTGGATCTCCGGCTGTTGAAGCAGGCTATGGGAACGAATCGTCATCGCGTTTCGAAGACCTACTCGTCGTCCATCACGAATCCTCAGGATTGTGCTTCGCTGGGCTGCAGGTCCATGCTAATGCACCGATGCGCCACGACTCTCACTTCATCACCTTCGACGCCCTGCTCTTTGTGGAAGACGTGCTCCCCACTGCGTCCCAGCCGGTGGCATGTGCTGCTGTATCCCATGTCGCGTTCTTTGGAAAGGCGCCTGCCAGGGACGAGGGAGACGAGGCGGATGAGGATGCCAGGCCTAAGGAGGCGGCACCACAGGGAGAGCCCGAGGACGACACTAACCGGAGGCCGGTACCGTGGCCGACACAGCAGCTCGTCCACGTCGCGTCAGTGGTTCTGCAATTGGCAGAACCTAGTGTCCGTGTGCGAGATGGGTTGAAGTGGCCGCCCCATCTGAAATGGAAACCTACCGGCATGGGCGATCTCGCCAAGCAGGCCATATGTCTCACCTGAATGAACGCTTGGTACGTGTGCCGTATAGATTATGTACGCTGCAGCCATGACTGACGAACCATAGCCGCGCTCAGTGGGTCATCGACATGACGTGCGCGGTTCAACCCGCCCGCCTGTAAACGCGCCACTCCCGCATTCTCCTTTATGCCTCTTTGGGTGGTCTCTGGAATGAGCTGCAGTATTTTGTCTATAGCTTACGTCCCGTTCATAGCTCGTTCCGAATGCGACTCACGTTCTATCTCAGATCAAGATGTTTTGGCTCGATATGTACTTGTATTCCTACCCCGGCGTGCTGGTTTGTCATGTGTACTCAAGTGCCGTTCGTATGGTACTGGGGCGAGCCGTACCACCGCTCCTATATCTATGCCCATGCAAACACTCGTGTTGAGTTCTTCATCTGCCGATTAGTAAGTATAGGCTCGAGGCCACTGATCAACTACGACGCACTGAGTGTCGCAGGACCCGGCCACGTACGACACGCCGTCCTGCCACCGTCGTTCGAACCCGAGTCATTCACTCTGGATGACTGAGCAGCCGGGTATATCATTTCTGAAGCACACCATGCACAGAGACCGGACGTAGATCTATGGAGTAATCCACTCACGGCTGACATATGCTGGGGTGGAGCTGTATCCGGCCGACAGAACGCGCAAGCCGTGGTTCGGAGGCGGCAGCGTTGGACCGCCCGAGTACACCACAGTACAAGCACGACAGGCCGGGGCGCTGAATAACGATTGCGCGAGTTTAGTCGCGGGAGGCGCGGACGCGGAGTGGCTGTCCAGTGCACGAGCGCGGAGCAGAGCAAGGAAAGGGTGCGTTTGGATCGCCGGATGTGACCGGGGTAGGGCGGGGAGCCTGGAATGCTGAGGGATTATGCGTATTCTGGACGGGCGTGACGGCGACATGCTATTTTGGCGGAAGGGATGAGCGCAACTCTAGCTTGTGATCCATAGCTTGGGACTTACTTCTTTATTCGCTCGAAGCTAGATCGATATACAAGGCTCCTGCAGGGGGGTAGCCGGAGGTGGCCTCGGGGTATGCTTGGAGTCGAGATGCGAAGACTGGGTGGACGTTGCGCGCAGATACGTCGCGGCGGGATTAGCCTGAAGTTTGTTCGGGGTAAGGTATAGGGTTTCCGGGGACGACGAACTCGTACGGGCCTTGGTGTGTCAGGGCTCTGGGGGTTCCTGTAGAATCACGAGTGAGGACCCTGATGAGCCTCCCATGCTACCACCGCATATCGTGCAGACACGGATCCTACCAAGCTATCATCCTTAGCGGCTCTTTCGGTACGCCGTACGGAGTGCGACGGAAAGGTTGCGGACGAAGTGAGAAAAAGGATATGTTCACAAGACCTATATCATGAGAACGGGAACGCTAGTGTCGTCGGCCGAAAACAAGTCGGGTATCCGTGAGGGAGATATCACGTTGACCAGGTTTGCGATATTGAGATGATTTGTGCGGGGTACCATCTGGGATGCCGCCGCACGAAGACGGACGGACATCAACTCCATAGCCGATATGGGCCGCACCGGAGGGATTGTTGCCCATACATAAGCCATATGTTCTCGCCGTGCCGCGCCGACAGCTGGTGTGCGCACTAGTGGGTGCTATTAGAAGCCGAGCGAGGTAGCGCGCCTGTCAAACGTAGGATCAGGGCGGCGTTGTTGTACGAAAGACTTGCCTAGATGGGGGATGCACATGCGCAGGAGGTTAGTGCAGTGCGGCCAATAGGAGGGCAGGGCGGAGTGAGATCAGGAGCGAGTCTGGACGGGCCGAAGAGTGAGCGAGAGCAGAGGCGCGGTGTGGCCGCACCTGATGTTAGAGCAAAGCTTATTTGTGAACTCGCGGCTCGGGGAGGCCAGACAGGAGTGCATGCATAGACAGGCGAGAGCGGTCGAAGGGGCGTCGAGGTCGGGCGGAGATCATGCCCATCCGTCCATTCTGTCTGTAGCCTGTGCTTACAGGCACCGGGATAGAGGCGTGCGATGACGTCGTATCGGACGGAGGAGCGCACGAAACGGAGCGCGGATCTCGAGGGAGAGTGATGTTTGCGTTAGAGAGCAGCGAGATGAGCGAGGACGAGCGTTGACAAACGTCTGACAGAGCAGGGCAAGCAAGAGCTCCGTGCTGCGCGGCGGTGGGAGGGAAGAGCCGAGGGGGTGATTGGACGAGGGAAGGAGTCATCCAGACCGCGTCTTCGGCGAACTGGGCGAAGAAGGCTGGAAGAGCGACGAGGCTCGCCGGCGCGCGCGCACACTGGGCTGCTATCGATTGATGGTCGCTCGACAGCACCGACGCCGGGCGAGGCACTCTCTTCCACACACTCGCCAAATCGTACGGTGGGCCGGACATGGCCCACCGGCGACCAATCCGCGATGGCCAAATGTCGGTCTCGTTATCCACGCACGTTCTATCTCGCCCGTTGGCACGCCCAAGCACGACTGCGCCGCGACTGGGCAGTCGTCGTGGGGGAAAAGAGAGCGAGATGTGTGATTGGGGTGCGCACGGAAGGGTGTCGAAGGCCAAGGACGAGCGGAGAACGGGTGGCGGCGCGGACCAGCGAGCGCCCAAAGCGGAAGGAACGCACAGGCGCTGGGCGGGTAGCGTCCGATCCATCTCAGATAAGAATCGCCCCTGCGCTATATAACGCTCTCTTTGCGCCCCGACTGGACCCCATCCTCTCATCCCATCCACCACATCCACATGTCGGTCAGTACCTGGCCTACCCTTGCAGTCCCTGCATGCGCTTACCTCTCCCTCCAGCAACAAGTTAACGTCGGAATCAACGGGTAAGATCGCTCGCGGACTTGAATAATCCGCATATATCCTAATCTCGTCCAATCCTCGTCCTTTTCCAGTTTCGGTGAGCCTCCTCCCCTCCTTCGCGTTCAATCGCGCGCATATACTCACCCTTTCGCAGGTCGTATCGGCCGTATCGTCCTCCGTAATGCCCTCCAGCACGGCAAGATCAATGTCGTCGCTGTGAACGAGTAAGCGCGCCCTTCGCGTAAATCAGACGCGCTCTAACTCCCTGCGCGCAGCCCCTTCATCGACCTCGAGTACATGGTCTACATGTTCAAGTACGACTCCGTCCACGGCCGCTTCAAGGGCCACGTCGAGGTCAAGGACGGCAAGCTCTGGGTCGAGGGCAAGCCCATCACCGTCTTCCAGGAGAAGGACGCCGCCAACATCCCCTGGGGCTCCGCTGGTGCCGACTACATCGTCGAGTCCACCGGTGTCTTCACCACCACCGAAAAGTGCGCATACACCCACCTCCCCATTGGCTGCGCTGAGTGAGACTGACGCGGTTCCCGATCGATAGGGCCTCTGCCCACTTGAAGGGCGGTGCCAAGAAGGTCATCATCTCCGCCCCCTCCGCCGACGCGCCCATGTTCGTCTGCGGTGTTAACCTGGACTCGTACGACCCCAAGTACACTGTCGTGCGTACCTTTTCCCATCGCGTCGCGCGCGAACCCCGATTTACCTCCGCGTGCGTGTAGATCTCGAACGCGTCGTGCACGACCAACTGCCTGGCGCCGCTCGCCAAGGTCATCAACGACAAGTTCGGCATCGTCGAGGGCCTCATGACGACCGTGCACGCGACGACCGCGACGCAGCGCACCGTCGACGGGCCCTCGCACAAGGACTGGCGCGGCGGCCGTGCCGTCGGCAACAACATCATCCCGTCCTCCACTGGGGCCGCGAAGGCGGTCGGGAAGGTCATCCCCGCGCTGAACGGGAAGCTCACTGGGCTCGCGTTCCGCGTGCCGACGATCGACGTGTCGGTGGTCGACCTCGTGGTGCGCCTGGAGAAGTCCGCGTCGTACGAGGAGATCAAGGCGGCGGTGAAGGAGGCGGCGGCGGGCCCGCTGAAGGGCATCCTCGAGTACACGGACGAGAAGGTGGTGTCGACGGACTTCACGGGGAGCACGTCGAGCTCGATCTTCGACGCGGAGGCGGGCATCGCGCTCAACCAGAACTTCGTCAAGCTCATCTCGTGGTACGACAACGAGTGGGGCTACTCGCGCCGCGTGTGCGACCTGCTCGCGTACGCCGCCGAGAAGGACGGCGTGCTCAAGGCTTGAGTTAGCGCGAGGTAATGGAACGAAGAAGTAGCTCGAGTTTGTAGTATGACGCTGTGGAACGTGTACGTGTACCAGTACCTGTCCTCCGCTGCGTGCGATATGTGTATTCCTACAACGCAATCATTAGACGTCTCGGATTGTACTTTTCGTGTGATCGTAAGGGTGGCCTGGTGCGCTGTCGGGTGTGTCCACTGATGTATAATTGCGGGAGAGTTGTTGTTTAGCGTTGCTGTATTTTCCAGACTAGTAGGTGTCAAGCAGATATGAGAGCTCCTCGAGTACAAGGCAGGCGTCCGCGTCAGAGCTGCTGGTACATTCATCCACACAATCTATCCACACAACCAGCACTTACACATGGCTGAATTCAAACGCAGTATCGCAATATTGGTAGACGGAGGAGAGGTGTATTTGCACATTCTGTCTCGCCATGCATTACAGGTAATATTATAGTAGTCTAATCCTCCTCGTCGCCAAACTCCTCACTAAACTCCTCATCACCCTGCCTCTCAACCAGCCCATACGCCCCGCTCTCCCTGCCCCACCTTACGCGCCTCAACGCCCGCTGCGACTCCTCCCGCCCCGGCATCCCCCGCCTCCCGACCCACTCCTCCACCCACGCCACCAGCCGCCCATACTCGCTCCCCCGCGCGCCGCGCCACCGCTCGATCAGCGGGCCCTCGAGCGCGACCTCGCCCCAGTACACCAGCGCCGCGGCGAGCGTGTCCTTGCTCGGGCGCACGCCCAGGTACCGCATCCACGCGAGCACGAGCGGGACCTGCCGCGCGCGGCCCTCCTCCGCGAGCAGGTCCAGCAGCGCGCGGAACGCGGGGTCGTGCGGCACGATCCCGTAGTACGTCCGCCCGTCGTCGGCCCCGTCCGCGTCCGTGTCGGCGTCGTCGTGCAGGCTGCGGTAGAGGTCCGCGATGGGCGATAGCGCGAGCGCGTGCTCCTCGGCGCTCTGCCTGGGGGGCCCGGTTTGGGCCGTGAGGTCCGCCAGTGCTGGCCAGTTGGACGTGAAGATCTTCCAGGCCACCCGCAGCGCAACAGCGCCCGCCCGCTCGCCCCGCCAGAACCCCGTAACCGCCCGCCCCTCCTTCCTCTCCAACAGCCTCTCCAGCCCCTCCACCGCCTGCCGCTCATCCAGCCGCTCAGGCTTACCCGCCGGCAAAATCCTCCGCAGCCCAAAGTCCTGCAACGCGACCTGCAGCGCGCCCTCGCACTTTCGCGCCACCCGCGCCGCCTTCAGCAGAATCGCAAGCGTCGCGGAGCTCGGCTGCACGCCCGCGAACACCCGCGGAAGCGTATCCCACAGGTAGAACACCGCGTCCGGACGACCGGTGCGCACGAGCGCGATCATGAACGCGTTCACCGCGCGCGTGTCGACCTTCGCCGGCTGTTCGCGCAGGAGGCGGAATGCCGCTGCGGGGCGGCCGAGCAGCGTAAGCGCCTCGGCGGCGATCGTGAGCTGCGCGGGGTCGAAGAAGCGTTTGTGCTGCAGCGCGGCGGCGACGAGCGGCGCGGCTTCCTCGAGGGCCTGGCGGCGCAGGAGGCCCTTGATGACGGTCGTGGTCGCGGCAAGGGACTTGGCCGGGTTCTGGATGATCGAGCGACCTTGTTCGAGGAGGGCTAGGATGTTCGGTACGGGCACTTCAGGGTCAGCCGCGGCAACAGACAGGACGCGGAGCCACACGTCCGGGGGAATGTCGTCGGGCGTCGGGAGCGCAGGCTTGGCGGCCAAGTCGCCTAAGGCGTCGGGAGGAGCGTGCTGCGCTCGAGCAGCGTTCTTCACGAGGTACCGGATATAATGGTTGACCTGTTTCGTGCTGTCAAAGCCCTGGATGTAGTCCGCGAGGGCACCAGTCTGATAGTCTGCGCTCTTCGCATACTGCGGGACCTTTCCGAAGACCTCACCGTGGCGGATGCGGCGCCAATGCCTCGCGGCGCGCTGCGTCTGCCCGCCCTCGCCGTATATGCGCACGAACGCGCGCGAATGCGCTAGATTGGGGTTGTAGCCGAGACGCGACATGTGCGTCTCCACCAGCTGCGCGACGATGAGCGGCGCCGCAGTATTATCGAGCAGCGCACGGTAGATGCCCGCTCCAAGAACCATCTTCTCGCGTATGGCCACGCGCAGGAGCGGCACGATCACGCGCTGCACCTCCTCGTGTGGTTCAGCGTCGGTGAGAACACGGAGCAGGATAGACACTTGGTAGGGCCGGAGGTGCTTGCGGTGGCGGACGAGGCGGAGAATGACCGTGTGGAGCAGGGCGTACATGCGGAAGCTAGCGAGGCAGTGCGCAGCGAGGATGTGGGTGAGGACAGCCAAAAGGGGGGAGAGCGCGAGGCGTTGTGCGAGGACGAGGCTGTAGGCAACGAAGGCCTGCACCTCGTTCGCAGGCTGCTTGCAGAGCATGGCGAGCAGAGCCCAGTCCGGGATTACGGCTGGGCGTGGACTGTCGGACGAAGACGGCGGCGGCGGTGCAGCGGCGAGGATTTCTTGGGCGCGGTCGAGGGCGGCAGCGAGGGTCGGCGCAGACGCAACGGGCTGCCATCGCCTGTATTCGACGCGGGGGATGGCGGATAGCTTGAGGGTGCGGCTGAACGAAGCGGCCTGTGTGGGCTTTTGCAGCTCATGGACTAGAGCGACGACGGGGTTGCGGCACTGGGCGTGGTACGCGACGAGGACGGAGTTCGCGGCATCGCTGAAAGCTCTGCGGGTAGCGGGAGCGGCGCTGAGCTGGACATGGCGCACGCTCCGCCACATACATCGGCTTCAGTTTTGTAGTCTTTGAGGCGCGGTCGAGTCACGTTTCGAGTAGGGCACAGTTAGAAATATCCGCCCTCTCCGATGCGTCCTCCGCGCGTGAGATGTCTCGACGCTGCACCTGCTCCGATTTTCGTAGAGTTTTCCTTTGCGGTCGAAATGCGACGTAATTGGTACCCAGACCTGCGCGTCGAGCTATAGAGCGATGATATGAAGAAATCAAGACGAAAGGATTAACGGTTAAGGAGATATCGCTCGCGCGAGTTGGAGGTCGCCGGGAGAGGACAGACGAGTCGGACAGCACTTTGCACGGGCGCCTGTGTGATGGCGCCTTGAGCGGAGTGTGAAGCGGGGATCCAACACGCCCCCCAACGGCGCGGACGGTCCTCGCCTGGCTTGGCCACGTCCACCACCTCCTCCTCGCTGCTAAAAGCACGGTGCACGTCGGCAACGACCCACTCGACATCATGCCTCGCATCCTCTTTGTCAGCGGCTTCCACCCCTCCACACGCGCAAAGGACCTCGCCTACGAGTTCGAACGGTCAGTCGCCCTCCCCTTTGTCCCCTCCGCCCTCCCTCACCTCCATAATCAGGTATGGCCCCCTCGTCCGCTGCGACGTCCCCGCCCCGCGCAACCCCCACGCCAACTCCAACCCGTAAGTCTTTCTCCTCTGCCGTTTCAACCCCCCTTTGTTGCTCTAGTCGAGTCGCCCTCTCGATCGCCTCCCGTACCGCGAAACACGAGCCCCGCGTCTTCGAGCCACCCGCGCTCTCGCCGCCCACGCAATCGCCCGCGAGCCGCACCGCGTCGAGTCGAGTCGAGCCCCGGACCGCACCGAGCGTTCCTCGTCGAGCACAAACACGCATCGTCGCACGATCCCGCTTCGATTCGATTCCCTCCCGTCCGCGCGTCCCGCCCCCGATCAACCCGAGCTCAACGCCTCCTACGCAGTTACGCCTTTGTCGAGTTCCGCTCCCAGCGCGATGCCGAAGATGCCTACTACGACATGTACGTCTTTCCCTGGTTTCGAGCGCTGTCCCGCAGCCCTCACCGCTCACCTCCCCTAGGCACGGCCGGAGTTTCGAAGGTTCCCGCTTGAGCATCCAGGTACGCAATGGCAGTGTCCTCGGATCTACCTCTCCAATGCTCACGCACCGCCTCTCGCAGTGGGCCAAGAACCCTCCCTCCTCAGTCTGGCGCTACGACCGGCGCTCGCCCCCTCCCCGCCGGGACCGCGAGCGTTCCCGCAGCCCCCGCCGCCGCACCGACCGCGACCGCGGCGGCGACCGTGACCGCGAGCGCGATCGTGGCGCGGACCGTGAGCGGGACCGCGGGGCAGCGGACGACAGGGACAAGGAGCGCGACGACCGGCGGCGGCGCAGCCGTAGCCCTGAGCGCCGCCGGAGCCCCGAGCGCAGGCGGAGCCCGACCCCCGAGAAGCGCAAGGAGGACCGGGCAAGGACGCCTCCGCCTCTCGACGACGCTCCCCCCGCAAAGGAGCCCTCGGAGGAACGTGAGCGTGACCGAGCGCAGACCCCGCCGCGCGACTTCTGAGTGCCCGTGTTATTCTTTGAATGCCGAAAGTGAATTGGTGGTGGCGAGAGGCCCTCTGTGGCCGCAATTATGAGCTACGATACTGCTAGCACCTGTCGTCGTGTAATTCAGACCGTAATCGTATGAAAATGTGATTGTCCGGGCTCGGAGATCGCTTGTGTGTGTCTGTGGGTGCATCACCGTGGGCGCGTGTGCGCCGTTCGACTTTGGCCATGCGCGCTTCGGCTGTACGCACTTGCTCTGTAGCCTCGACCACCGCCGTTCCCCGTCTCTCCTTATCTCCTCTTGCTTGCTCTCTCCCTCGTCTGGCTGCGAACGATGGCGCAAGTGCAGGCTCAGGCTGAGCCCTGGGTACCGACCGTGAACGACCTCCGCGTACGCACGCGTCATCGTCCATAATGACCAACGTACTCACCGTGGCTCTCCCCACAGGTCAAGCTCTGCTACATCTGCCGCGAGGAGGAACGCTACGACAGTCAGTCCTGCCCCCTCATCCCACATATACCCAAGCCTGACTGATCTATCCCCACACCACTCCTACAGACCCAGAATCCCCCGCCCGCCCCTGGACGCACCCCTGCGCCTGCACGCTCGTCGCCCACGAAGCCTGCCTCCTCCAGTGGATCAAGTCCGCGCAGCAGGACCCCGCGCGCGCGCGCAACGCCCTCAAGTGCCCGCAGTGCGGCGCCGCGTACGCGCTTGAGAGCGCGAACCCGCCGCTGCTGCGCGCGCTCGACGCCGCGAACGCGCTCCTGGCGGCGGCGGGGAAGGCCGCGACGGTCGTGGGCGTCGCGTGTGCGGTGGTCAGCGTTGGCGCTAGTGAGTTTCTTTCTTTGTGGGGGAGGCAAGGGAGAGGGAGAGAAGGCTGATTGGGGTCACGCAGCGGTGTACATGGTGTCGACGTCGTACGGCGCGTTCGCCGTGAAGGAGTTCCTCGGGGAAGAGATGTACGTCCCCCTCCCCATCCTACGACCCGCATAACCAACCCCGCCTAGGTTCAACCTGCTGCTCACGGACGACCCCAGCAAGTGGCCCTGGCACGCCTTCATCCACCTCCCCGTCATCCCCTTCTCTCTCATCCTCTCCCGCACCCGCCTCTTCGACACCTTCCCGCTCGTCCCCCTCCTCCTCACCTGGGCCACCTCTCCGCCCGTCCTGTCCGCCTCCTCCTCCGCCTCCTCCTCCGCCTCAACCTCCTCCACCACCCCGATCTTCGCCCCCTCCCTCGCGTCCCTCCTCGGGCTGCACCGCCCCACCGACCCGCGCTTCGTCCCCGCGCTCAACTGGCCCCCGACGCCGCTCATGGCGCTCGTCCTCTTCCCCGCGCTGCGCATCGCGTACCGCCGCGCCTTCGCGCGCCTCACGCGCGCAGTCATGGGCACCCACGCGGGCGCCGAGACCGGCCCCGCCGCGCGCATCCGCCGCGTCGTCCTCGCCATGAACGAGGACGGCCCTGCGCCCATCCGGCTCCGCATTGGGGCCGAGATGGATCGTCCTGTCCCCGCCGCTGGTAACGCCCCTGCCGCTAACCCCAACGCCGCGAACGCGAACGCAGCGGCTGGCGCGAACCTCCCCGCTCTCGGGGACGAGCCCGCCGACGACCCCGCGGGCGACGCCGAGCGCACTCTGCACGTCACCACCTCCTCGCTCGGGCGGTTCGTCGGCGGGGCCCTTCTCATGCCCTCCATCGCCGCGCGCATGGGCGCGCTCCTCCTGCGTCTCTCGGCGCATTCCTCCTTGCTCCGCACGCTGCTCGCGATCCACCCGCGCGCCCAAGTGGCCGCGCCGCCTGCACGCATCCGGCTTTTCGCACCGGGCCATGCGCCGGAGGTGGGCGTGTGGCGGCAGGTCGGGGGCGGGCTGTTGACGGGGTTCAATATCCTGTGTGGGGGGACGCCGACGTGGAACGCGCACGACCCGGTGTGGTGGCGCAACGCGGTCGGGCTCGGGATCTTCGTCTTCGTGAGTGGCTTGTCGTCTTTCTGAGTGCGATTGTGTGCTGATGTGTGAATGGGTGGTAGACGAAGGACTGCATCGAGCTGCTGCACCTGTACCTGAAGAAGCGCGAGCTCGAGTCTCGCCGGGTGAAGAGCCGCGACTTTGCGGGCGTCGATATCAAGGAGCTCGACCTCATCCGCCCCGTCACCGATGCGCCAGCACCAGCGGTCCCAGAGACGGAGGCAGTGCCCCAGCCCGCCGCCGCAGACGCCCCGCCGCCCCTCGAAGCCTGATCTATCCTGTTTTCCTTTTTCTTATACACCACATCTTGTGTAGCATCCCTGCTCTGTCCCGTAGCACTTCTTGCTCTCGCCAATCCCACCGTACATTCCCTCGTGCTCGAGGACCGAGACCGAGAGAGGATCGATACAGCCGCGCTGTGCGCGCGGAGATGATATATGAGACACGCCTCTAATGCTACAGTTCGTCGCGACTGATGTACACGTGAAGCAGGCCCCCAATTGCTGTCTGAGTCTACGCCTCCGTCTAATCCACTTCCAAGACCGTCCCGCGCTGCACGCTGCCCCATCCTGCGTAAATCCCCACCCATCAGTTACCGTCCCACAAAATACATAGCCTAAAAAATAGCGGGCACTCACCGACAAGCCGCCAGTGCTTCTCGATGCGGCGGGAGAGCGCGACCTTCTCGCCGACCTCCGTGCACGCGGGGCTCGTGAGCTGGATCTTCGCGAGGTCGCCCTTGACGGAGAGCACGCGCCCGCCCGTCGACGTCGAGCCGATGTTGATCAGCAGCAGCTCGTTCTTCACCAGCTTCGACACCTTCGTCTGCTTCTTGTCCTCCGTCTTCACCCCCAGCAGCCGCCGCAGCAGGAACAGGCTGATCTCCAGCTCTACGTCACGTCCCGTTCGTCAGCTCTCATCCTCCAGCCAATGTCTAGAGAAAAGAACCGGACGCACCGGTGAAGATCTTGGGCAGCTTGCCCACCGCGCCGAGCACCTGGCCCACGAGCCTGTCCGCCCTGCACAACGTCGGGTCGATCCTCGTCCCGACCCCAATCAAGCCGCCCGGCACCGCAAACTGCAGATGGTTCGTCTCCGCATGCAGCGACACAATCCGCGAGAAAATCGGCTTGCAGCGATTCCGCCCCTGTGCGTCCTTCGTCACGATCCCCGGGCGGATCTCGACCTCCTGCCCGAGGCGCAGCACGCCCGTGAGGATCGACCCGCCCGCGACGCCGCCCTTGAGCTCGTCGACCTCCGCGCCGGGCTTGTTCACGTCGAACGAGCGGATGACGATGAGGCGCGGGTCCGCGGTGAAGTCGCGCACGGGGATCGGGATGCGCTTCACGATGTACTCGTTCACCGCATCGATGTTGTACTTGAGCTGCGCCGAGATGGGCACGATCGGCGACGACTCCGCGACCGTTCCTGCACCCCCTCACACATCAGTCTCTCCCTCCCCACTGCACTCAGAAAAAACAGACGGACGCACCCTTGACGAACGCCGTGATACTCTTGTGATGCTCCAACGCCTGCTCCTCCTTGATCAGATCGACCTTATTCTGCAGTATAATGATATTCTCGAGCTTCATGATCTCGACCGCGGCCAAATGCTCGCTCGTCTGCGGCTGCGGGCACGTCTCGTTGCCCGCAATCAGCAGCAGCGCGGCGTCCATCACCGCCGCGCCGTTCAGCATCGTCGCCATCAGGATGTCGTGCCCCGGGCAGTCCACGAACGAGACGTGGCGCACGAGGCGCATGCGCGCGCCGCACCCAGGGCGCTCGCACGGCGGGCTGTCCTCCTTGTCCGAGCGGTAGGAGCGGTAGCACCCCGGGCGCGGGCAGGCGTCGTTTTCGCACTTGTAGATCTGTTGTTGTGCACGAGGTGTCCCATGCGTCCCAGTTGTGTTTGTGTGAGAGAGGAAGGGAGGGAGGGGATGTGGCTAGGTGAAAAAGAGCGTAGAGGACGGGGAGCAAGGACGCACCTTCGCGTTCGCGTACCCCAGCTTGATGGTGATGTTCCGCACAAGCTCGTTCTTGAACCGCACCGTCATCACGCCCGAGATCGCCTTCACGACCGTCGATTTTCCGTGCGCAACGTGCCCGATCGTCCCTGCAGCGGCGCAAACATTCAGCACCTCCGCCTCTCACCATTAGCCACGCCGCGGACGCACCCAAGTTGATCGTAGCCTATATACACACCCAAAGGTAAGCACACCCGCGTATAGCACCGAGAGCAGCTCGCGCAAACGCACCTGTTTCGAAATGACCTCTGGGCTGAGCGGAGTCAGTTTTGAGGGGTCGATCTCGACCTTCACGACCGGCTCGACGTCGCTCTCGTCCTCGCTCTCGCTCTCCTCCCCAGCGTGCTTCGTTCGTGTCTCGTCGCCCGGCATCTTGTGTCCGTTTGCGTTTTCGTTTGTAGCAAAAGTCAAGGTGAGAGTGGAGGGGGTCGAAAGCAGATATGATCTTGAATAATCTGAGCGCGCCCAAATTCGCCGCACCGCGTGCCTTGCGCTCGATTGTGACACATGTCACGCGGGTTGTGACTCGCTAGACTTGGGCGTCTGTTAAGCGAGAAGACTTTCGTTCAAACTTCGAAAATGGGGCTAACACTCCGCGCAGAAGGGAAGAACATTTAAGTTATGATGAGCATCGAGTCAGTAATCGACAGTCTGGTCCGGCCTCTAAGTGCGGGCGCTGCGCTGGCGACAGTCGATGGAAGCAGCAGTAAAACACACAGAGAACTTGGGCATCGATACAGGCACTGTAGTAATACAACGTACATGGCTGCTCTAATTGTACATGGGCAGACGGCCTCTTCGACTCCGGTATGCATTTATGCGCGCTTTCCCTTCGCTTGCTGCTCTTTCCTCTTCGCCTCGATCTCTGCGGATTTCGCTGCGTTACCAGGTCGTGATCAGAATGATGTGCGAGAGTAGGGTTATAGGGCAAGTACCTTCAGCTTCCGCCTTGCGCTTTGCCTGAGCAGCCTCACGATCTGCGCGGATCTTGGCGAGGCGGGCGAGGTCTGACTTGGCTTCGTCCGTCTTGCCTGCTGCGTGCAGCTAGAGAGGGAACATGGGTTAGGATGTACGAAAGATATGATTGTGCGACGGCGTACCTTCCAGTAGCGCTCCTTCGCGTCCTTCTTCTCTTTCTCCTCACTATCCGCGCGGATCAGTACATGTTTAAAAAAGTAATGTGAGGACGCGCACCGTTCACGGCGCGAGAGCTCGCGCGGCGCACTGAGATCGGAGATGTTGAGGCGCTTGCCCACCGCGATGTTGGGGTTCGCGAGCACCGGGTCGTCGTCGTCGTCCGCACCCTCTGCGGGAGCCGCCTGTGCCGCTGCCTTCTTCTTCTTGAGGTCGCGGCGCTCAGCACGCGTGAGCTCGGGCTGGCCCGCGCTCGCGCCCGCGGCGGGCTCCTCTTCCTCCTCGCTCTCCTCCTCTTCCTCCTCTTCGGACTCCTCCTCGGAGTCTTCCTCGTCCTCGTCGACCGCGCCGGGGTTGCGGCGGTTGCGGGGCGGCCTAGGGAGGGTGGCGGGTTAGCCAATAGGGAGCGGCGGGTTTGGACGGCTGGGCGCACCTGTCTTTGCTCACTGCGGTGCCATTCTCATCGAGTACTAGGTTCTTGCTGTATAACAGATATGGGGAGATCAGAGGCCTGCATGCACTGTGGCGCGCGGCGATTTAACAGACCTGAAGCTACAGAGGGTGGCGGGCGGTGAGATCGAAGAGCGATCGGGCAGCAAGAGAGAGAACGTACCTCCTTCCACCGCCGCGTTTCTGCTTGAAGTTTCCTCTGGCCATGGTGCGGTGGTTGCGGTTGAGATGGGTGCGGTGATGGCGGACGATGTGACTCTGCTGCTGCGAGTCGTGGTGTTCTTCTACTTGCGATGTCGCCCAAAGCAGAATAGCCTTCCGTCACGTGCATCATGAGGGCGCTCCCGGCGCCGTCCCGCGCCCTCTCCTCGCTGCCCTCTCCCACCTCCTCCCCGCCCGCCGTCCGCCATGTCGACCATCCCCGCACGGCTTGCGCGCTCCGCCCGCGTGTCCACCACCCCCAACGCTGCCCGCCAGCGGGTCATCCAGCTCTACCGCGACTGGTATCGCAGCGTGCGTCTCCATCCGTGTTGCCCGTGCTAACGCCATCAACTCACCCTTCCCTCGAACCACCTCTGCCTTTCAACGTGGATTACTCTGGGATACGCACCGCCAGGCCCCCGAAATCTGCTCGATCTATGCGCTGAACGTGACCCCGACCTTCGTTCGCCACTGCATCCGCGCGCACTTCGAGGAGAACCGCTACGTGACCGACACCCGCGTCATCGACGTGCTCCTGCTCAAGGGCCGCCAGGAGTACCAGGAGACGTTGAACTGCTGGAAGCAGCTCGACCACATCATGGGCATCCTCCTCGCGCCCCGTGGTCGGCCTCAGCGGACTTTCTTGCAAAAGTTCTATGAAGGTGCGTGCCGGCGTTTATGTTCGGTTTGTGCGGGGGGCGACGGGCTGATGTGTGTGCGCAGGGAGGGACGAGGACGCGGTGCTGCCTGCTGCGACGGGTATTGTGCACCCCAAGGCTGTATGACCGGCGTAGAATCTATCGCTTTTTGTTTTCGCGTTCTTGAAACGGACGCGGTGCTGCACGCACCGCCGTGCAGGTGTGAGTCTCTATCTACAGACGAATGGACATGGCGGGACTGCTAGTGCTACAATGGTATGGTCCAGGGGGTGGTTGATGTATGTGCGGTGAGTCCGTAACTTATGACAGGAAGTCTATCGGGTCCTTGTCGCTCTCGCCGTCGTCTTCTGGGGCCGGGAACATCGACATCCGCGGCTGCGATGTACGGCGCAAATGTGAGCGACAATTCTCCGAGATGTGCGGTGATGGCTTACCTTGGGCTTCGGCTTTAGTACAGTGCCCTTGGGTGCGAACACCGGCCTGTATGCGCGCCGTTAGCATTGCTGGTGATGCGGAGATTTGTGAAGACGACGTACGGCGCTTTGCTACGGGAAACCTTGCGGGTTGGGCTCTCCGATGGTGGCGGTAGCTTCGCACTTCTTGCGGCTCGGCTTTTGACAGGAATGGATACGTCCCTATCTTCTGGAGGCCTACGTTTCTTGAGTGGAAGCAGAGGTGCTTCGTCCTCTGGCTTCTCGGTCAAGCGGTGGTTGGTACGGTCCGGCAGTAGCTTGGATGCGGCGGGTTTCGTGGGTTTCGCTGTCTTGGCGAGCGCTACCTCGGGGGAGGAAGGTGTAATCGCCGCGCCCTTGCGAGGTATTGGAGGAGGGGGTGGGACGGCCTCGTCGTCACTCGGAACCTCCACGACCTTGGAGAGCCGAGCACGTTGTGCACCCTTCGTGCCCGTAGCAGACGAAGGCCCTGCTTTTCGGGCCGCAGGTAGTTTGATTGGTTTATCGGTAGTGCGAGTCCTGTTGCGCGGCTTAGGTGCTTCGACCTCGCCGTCGCCGTCCGCTGGTTCTGGAGGAGCTTTCTTGAGCCGCTTTGACTTCGCAGTCGGCGCAGGTTCTGTCTCTTCTGACCGGTTGATTGTCAACAGTCGAGCATTGGCGTATATGAGGGGATATAACACTGACCTTCGGGAGGTTCGTCGTCGGCCGGGTCTGGCTCCGCCTTGCGCTTGCCCTTCGTCAGTCGCTTCAGCCGTGCCTGTGGAGGAGCGGGAGCTTCCTCATCCTCCTCGACCACCGCTTTTAGCTGTGGCGCGGGCTTCGCTTTCTTGGTGACGCCTGACACGATTCCGTGCGGGTCAACATCGTTGGTCGCGCGATGAACTGCTGTGCGTACTTACGTCGACGCGGCTTTGCGGGCTCCACTTCTACTTCTTGGGGAATTATCACCTCTTCTGCGGTAGTATTCGCGCGTTTCCTTGACGAGGATGCTTTCGCCTTCGGTGCTGCAGATGCCTTCGTTCGGGCTTTCTTGCGTGGTACGAGCGGTTCGTCGTCGCTGGGTATATGGGTGTCGGGTTCGGGTTCGGGCTCTGGCTCTGATTCGGGGGAAGGGGCCTTGCGCTTCGCGACGCGTTTGGGTTTCGGCGCGGGCTCTTGTTTGGAAGGTGTATCGTTAGGAGGGGCCCAGGAAAGCGCATATAACGACTCACCGGGTGCCGCGGACGTGCTGGCCTTGATGCCCTTCGTGGCCGCCTTGGGCTTGGGCTTAGGCTTGACGGTGGCTGCGGAGATGTTTGCATACAGCAAGAACGCGGGGGTAAAAGGGACTTGCCTGATGTTGTGGGCTTGGAGGCGATATCATCTTGGTCTTCGTCGGGCATGGGTTTGGCTGTGGCGGGGGCGATTAAGCAGGGATGATCTTAGCCACATCATGAGTACGTACCGGGTTGCGCTCGCGATTTCCGGGGTGCTCGCTTTATGGTAGGTTCCTTGGCTGACTTAGTGCGTGCAGAGGGCTTGGAGGGTCCTACGTTACGGCATATAGTCAAGGGGTCCTAGTGAAGCGCGTACAAACGCACCTGCGATAGGTTCCTCGACCTGCGCCGCGGTATATGCGCCCTCCTCCTCCTCGAGCTCTGGCGGGCCTGGTCTCTTTCCATCCAATTTCCGCAAACGCTTATTCGGAGGGGCGCTCTGGCTACGCCGTCGCGCAACCTGCTCTTTGCGGGAAGGGGAGGCGGAGCGGCTGCGAGAGCGTCGTGGCGAGTTCGGTCTAGAGAGAGACTCGCCATTCACGCCGCGTGCCAGGAGGAGTTCAACGAGAGGGTTGTGCTCGGACGGCTTGAATATCCTGCGGCGTGCGCCGAAGAGGACAGAGCATATAGCGGGCAGAGTAAGCACAGGGACACCGGGTGAGGCGGCGGTGGACGTACCCTCCGCGGTCCCTGAGGCGGGCCTGTTGGCGTTCGAGCCGTTTCTCGCGGCTGGCCTCGACGGTCTCTCCCAGTAGTGGCATCAGTCGGGTTCGTATGAGGAGACGAGTGCACGATGGTGGAGGAGCTCCGAGCGCGACGCTGCCACCTGCTGAACCTTACTTGAATAAACGCCCGTACACGCGACCTGATCACGTGACCGCGCGGGCAATACCCTCGGTACCTACTGAGCCAAACTTGGGTTGTGGGTAGTCTCGGCTCCAGACGTTCAAGGGACCCTCTCCGGTAGTCTCGTTAGTCTCGTCACCAGCCGCTAGAGGGGGTCCTTCCAAAACGGGACGGGACAGAAAGCATGGAGAGGACCCCCTCTAACGTCTGGTGACTTTCGTATAGACGGGTGGGGGTCTCTCCCTTGAGTCACATCGGTCACGGCAGCCCCACTTGGACGTGCCCGCGAGCAGGCGCGACCGTGCAGCGCGAGTAGCTATTCCGCGTGGTCCCGTAGGCAATTCTGACCGCGCGCGGGTCGTACTCGCCGCTTTTCGAAGCTCGTATGTCGCGAACCTGCTTATAGTTCGACTGCGAGGAAATCGCGAGGGTCCAATAGTCAAAACAATGCCGCGTTCTGCCAGAGCGGGCATCGGGCGTCCGTACTCCGCGCGAGACCGACTGTATGTGCATGTTCGTGAAGGTGGTAGTGGCGATAATCGGGACAGAGTCTCCCAGGTGAGGCGGGTACGCGCGCAGTAGAACATGACATACAGCGGCCGACTATGGGGTAAAGGGAGCTTATAGTCGCGGTCGCGGCGCGGATGGACTGCCCGATCGAGGACGCGTCGGGGCGGCTGGGTGAGCTCGACGCGTCGACAGGCTTCCATGTCGCGCGGGCGTGACAGAGACCCCCACCCCTCTATACGAATTTCACCAGACGTTATAGGTCGCTCTCTCCTCTCGTTTTTCGCTCTCCGCTGTCCCAAAAAGGAGCGAAACCCTATGACGTCTGGTTACGAGACTATAGTCTCGTCACCAGACGTTGTAGAGCCGCTCCTCTTTGGGACACGTCGGAGTGCGAAACCGGGAGAGAGAGGCGCGGTCTATAACGTCTGGTAACTTTCGTATAGAGGGGTAGGGGGTTGTCACGCTCGCCCGACATGGAAGCCTGCAGCTGTCAACGCGTCCAACACCTCGACGCGTCCCGATTGGGCACGACACCCGTGCCATCCTGAGGCTGCTTTACCGCGGTTTGGATCCTCGGGCAGCCTGTGCCCCGCTTGCGATACCCGATGAGCTCGCGGGAAGTTGTGGGCGCCGTCTCTTCCCTTGTACATCAGCAAAAGCGCAAGCCACATGCATGGCGACGCATGGCGCCACGAGGTATGCAGCGCGCTGTAGGCGCCTTGCCGCACCAGACGAGCGACAGGCAGGCGCCTGCAGAATGCTGTGGAGAGAAGTCCCGCACACAAGAATCCAGTCGTGGAATGCGTCGCGCCGCGAAATTGCTGCAGAGGCACGCCGTACATCGCCGAGTGCCACGAGTGTACCACATAACTATGTGTAATATTAGCGGATTATAAAAATATATGTAGAGCTACATGGTCTGGAGTCTAGCGCAGCACAAACACCCGCTACCCCGGCAGCCTCCCCGCGCCATTAAGAATGTACGAACCATTCGCACTGAGTTCAATCATTACCGCGAGCTCACAGCAGGTGCGCAAGGCAAGCGGATGTCCGCGCAAGATCACTAAGTAATTGCTTGATACAGCGCGAAGCCCTCTGCCGTCGCCGTCATGGACATCGCTGCGTCGTCTGAAAAGGCGCACAAACTCATGAACTCGCCCTCATCGGTCACCTGGTCCTGTGTTTCATCTCATCCCACATGGCGCATCGAACTCATCTGCATCGTCGCCATCATCATAGCATAAGCGCACCAGCTCCGCCTCCTCGTTGTCACTCACCACAACGCCCTCGCTGACCTCGCCGCCCTGATTATATGCGCCGGGTGCACCATTGTTGTCGTTGTCCAAGGCTGGTAATGAGGTGGCTGGCCCCCAGTCTAAAAAAGTAACCACAAGATAGAGAGGGACCCAGGCTTCAAGCAGCCTGAGTGAGGGGGGGTAAGAGACAAGAGGATAAGCGCCCCCAATCGGGTCGTCGTGTCGCGTCGCGTCGGCGATCGCGCCCCAAGTCCAATGACGTATGCGCGATCCTTGACGCGTCCACAACTTGTGCCGCCTTCTTTTCACCATGTATGCGTCCCTTTAAAGTCTGGGCGAACACGTATTTCCCCCCGTTTGTCTCTTCTCCCTCTACCACCACCATCCCGTGCCGTGTCGGGAGGACATCGACTCGACGTAAACACCAACAAGAATGTGAGTGCTGATCGCGACGCATACATGCCCTTGACCGGCCACGCTCGCGCGCGCTGACGCAGGTGAGTCGATACTCAGGCCACTTAGATGTCTCTCGCTCGCTTGCTCGCCGTCGGGTTTCCTGGGGCCGAATGATCCTTTGTGCAATATCTGTGCCTTGTCTCTTTCAGGCAGACTTACCGGTGAGCAAGCACACCTCACTAGCTCTGTTCTCTAGATCTCTGGCACTTTCTCGCTGGTACCGTTCTCTCTGGCACCGTTCTCCCTGTTGGTCTGCTCTGCTATGGTGCTTCCCCGGCCTCTAGTATCTGATATACTTCTGCGACTGCAACCTTTGGGGGGCTCTTCTTCCTGATGGCTTTCTTCTCGTCTCGGGTTCGGACTCTGGGTGGTTGTGTACGTTATGTATTTCGCGAGTAGATGTAGCCCCACGCAATCATCGCGCGATGCTCAATATATTCAATATTTTCTCGCACAATCACCTTGCTTTTTGAGTGCCCATGCAATGATTTTCGGCGATATGTTTTCGGCTATGGGACTGTCCCTCTGCATGGCGCCGCAGAGCCCTGCATAATGGCACCCGAGGATCTGCAGAGCTCTGCAGAGACGTGCCCTGTGTCTGACAGCATACCGTGGAAGTCTTACAGCGTGCCGCCCAGTGCCAGTAGGGTCCGTGGCCTGCATGCAGAAAATAGTAGGTCGACACTAGTTCCACAGGGCACTACGCTTACTGCAAAGCGCTGTGATGCCGTACATTACGGTCACGCACTTTGCTGATGTAGGACTTACTGTACTATTTCGATCAAATTGGCACCCCTTGTGACCTGTGACACCGCCAATCCGGCGGACGATTTCGTCGGCACCAGCCAGAGAGGACCCGGGCAACTCCACCAAATGTCTCTCCCCGATCGCGTATTTTGACTTCCCAATATGGTAATGACCCTTGTCCAAGTTGGCGTATTTGACGCCTAAAAATGTCGTTAAGCGCCCATATTCCTGTCCAAGTTGGCGTATTTGAGGGTGTTTTTGTGGCCGCTATGTGGGTGCTTAATGGGTTGTTAGTGTATTCTATGTCATAAACCTGGTAGAGTGCTGTTGCGCCACGGCGTTACAGCAAAGAGTCGTGTTCTTGCTTGCATTATGAATAAAATCAGGAAAATCCTGCAAATGTGTGGCTAACGTGCAATCACGTGATCTAAACCTTGTCCAAATTGGCGTATTTAGCGCCCAAAAGTTCGCGTATTTGAGGGCAAAATTCGGGGGTCCCAGGGGAGAGACATTTGGTGGAGTTGCCCGGGTCCTGGCCAGAGGGTGTGACCGACGGCCGAATTTTGACACATTTGGGCGCGCGTCAGCGCGCGAGATTTTTAGCGCCTGGGCACCCCCATGTCACTTCCGGCATTTCCTGCGGTGACCTGTGACATAGGCCCAAAATTCGGTCGGCAGAGGGTCCGGTGACCCGTGACATGCCGAATTGATCGAAATAGTACAGTAAATCAGAATTATTTCGCGCATATATTCACATTGCCGCCGTGGTGGGCTCCATAGGTGCGTCTACCAACCATGTTATAATCCTCGCGCGACCGCACAAATATTTCCCCGCAGTGTCACGAACTTGAATTACCGTTACCCAGCAACTTGCGCGCGTCATACCGGCTGTATTCCCTGCGAGACTGGGCAGAACACGCTGCGAAGAGGCAGAGTCACCGAGCTTTGCGGGGCCTTCCAGGTGGAGTAAATGTGACCGACCGTGATTTGAGTGACAGCCCCCTACCCCTCTATACAAAAGACACCAGACATTATAGGGGGTCCTCTGTGCGGTTTCTTGTCCCTTCCCGTTTTGGAACCGAGCGTGGACCCTGTGATATAACGGCTGGTGACGAGACTACCTCTCCGGCGCAGACCAATGCTTCGCTACACTCAGCGGGCCCATATCCCTCACGAGCCAATAGCAGCACAGATGCACTGAAGGCACTTTCATAATTTCTCACGAGAGTTGGTTAGCGCCGAAGAGAGGGTCTCCTAGAACGTCTGGTGTGTTTCGGGCTGGAATTCGGGCATTGTGACTTCAGGTCACGGGTGTTATTCTTTGTGACTCAAGTGTCACCACATACAACACCCGGTATCAAGGGGATTGGAAATGCAAAGAAAATAGCTCAGTAAGGCTGAACATAGGTCAACCCGTAGGATATCCGGATCCGGACCTGCGGGTATTCTCGGATCAACAACCAACACCTAGAGCTGCGTAGGTATCAGCACACAGGTACCTGTGACCTGATGATCTGTACCTAACACCTACAGGTACACCTGAACATGACCTGAACCTATATACCACCCACAGGTAACCTGGCTTGAACAGGTTTGACAGGTCAGTGGGGACAATGTAGACAAACCCCAGGACTTTAAGTCAATATGCAGACCTGATATCATCACACAAGTTGGAAAGGAAAGACATAACATATCGCATTGTTCACAAACAGACAAGGCAGAATACATGATCTAAGCTAGTCTATCTCAATGACGGTGGCCTGAGAGCTAGAAGCAGACACCTTCGAGGACGAGGCAACCGCACTACCATTCTGAGAGGATGCAACATCAGAAGTGCCACTCGGGCCGGCCCCCGCACCCTCACTGTCAGCAGCAGCGCCCGCAGCGCGAGGGCGACGTGAGGACGTCTTCAGGAAGTCGACAAAGTCCTCCTCGGGGATAAGGTCGGGGATGTTCGCCCATGATCCGAGAACGGTGCTGGTCCGAACGGACTCCTCATTCATGGAATGACGGAGCCGTGATACGGTAAGATGACCGCGCGAAAATGCGCGTTCAGCATCAGTCGAAGTTGCTAAATGAAACATCAGCATGTGCCGGACATAGATAGCTAATAGAACGCCACATACCGGGGATTGAGAGGAAGTCCAGGGCCATACGGGCCAACCAGGGGTTGCCTGACGTCAGCATCAGGTTCCAGTGGTGGAGCGGGTCGTCGACAGTGGTGAGCTTAGGTTCCTCGAGGTAAACCTCGAGGGCATCCTTGGCGCTTTTGCCAGCGTTCGAGATCGACGCGAAGAGCTCGGTCGTTGCCTGTCAAAGAAGCACATTGAGCACATGCAATCACCGCCGAAATATCGTACTTACCTTCTTGGTGGATGCCTGTGCGCTCTTTCTACCGGTGCCGGGTTGTGCAGATGCTGTCGAGATAGGTGTCAGTATATCGGGCTAAACAGCAAGGTGAAAGGCGTAGACTCACCGGTAGCCTTTCCTTTACCCTTTGAGGACAGCGCAGGCGCATCAGCAGGCGCCTCCTCGGGCTGCTCGGGCGGCGCCGGTTTGTAGTACTGCCTCCATTCGGCGCGGAGGAGCTCGACGGCCTCGTTGATCCATTCCTCAGGCCAGTTCTCATCCCGGAAGTACTGTAGCTTGTGCCCAGGGTGGAGGACTAGCCAGCAGAGAGTTAGCTCGAGTGACACAATAGAAGTTTGACGACGTACTCATAGCCAGACGATAGATCATCGTCTCGTCTGTAAGCGTATAGTACTTATCCAGAATCACACGGCCGCGCTGTGCCGCAGCGCGCACTGAAGGAGCGAGCTGCTCATCCTGGCGGAACTTGTCGACGAGGTTCGTCAGGATATCCATATATGGTATAACATCTTGAACGAGCGCGCGGTCGCTCACGGAAATCTTCTTCGTCGCGAACAAGAACGGCTAAATAGAGAGTTGTCAGTCAACTGTGCGCATATTTCGATGCAGAACGCAACTGCTTACGTCAAGAAGGCGCGAGAGTTGGGCGAGTATATCCCACTCCTCGTCGGTGAGGAGGTAGCGCCGCAGACGCGCGCCCGTCTTCTTGTTGAACTGTGCCATGTCGCACAAGTCACCGAGGGCCTCGCGCATCTCCAGCGCGCGCTCTAGGACCTCGGTAACTGTGTTCCAGCGAGTCTTGACGGCTCTGATAAGCACCTCGCTGTTGACGCCGTCGGTCGCTTGGGCGAGGCGCGTGAGCTCTGCACGGATGCTGGGGCTATTCCATACTTTGCGCGACAGAGTGAGGATCTGCAACAATGATGGAAATCAGTCAGTATCGTATAGCGCGCAGTACAGGGAAAGCACGCACCTTATTGAGTGCGTTGCGCCCAAGGCGGAGGTCCTCCTCGGTGAGTGCGATGTTGACGATGTCGTCGCCCAGAGCGTCAATGATGTGCTGGTCTGCGGCTTCGCGTGCGGAGTCTGCTTCATCGGCGGCCACGGCGTCTTCCTCATCTTGCTCGTCCTCGTCCTCATCTTCCTCGTTATCGGAGTCGGTTTGCGTCGCATTGGCGATGCGACGAGGCTTCGGCTTCGTGAATTGCGAGAGGATGGCCTGCAGAAAGGCCATTAGAAGCAATCACACATTGTATGGGCTCACGTACCTTGACGACGAGATTAAGTACGTGCCCGAAGCACCGTACGCGCACCCGGTCTCCACGGAACTTCGGCACGAGAACGTGCATTTCTTTGAGCATGGTTGTGTTATTCTCAGCGTTATCACAAGTGACGGCGAAGACCTGCCACAAATGTCAGTACGCGAGTATACACTGAATGTGGGGCTAGCAAGCTTACCTTCTCCTCGATACCAAATTCACGGAGGGCGTTGATGAGGCTCTCCGCGAGATTTTTTCCCGTGTGCGAGGCCGTGAGACTGCTACAGGTGTTAGACTCTGAATAGACATGCCTGGATGTGCACATACCGGACGAAGTCAAGTATGACATGACGGATCTTGCCGTCGTGATGCCAGTGTGCTGTAATCCTGAGGAACGACAGAATGTTCGGGGATGTCCATCCATCCACGCAGATGTGGATGCGGCAGGGAAGGCCCTGTGGCGTACAGTCAGTAGACGAGCGGGAGACTGAGGGACTCGATAGCGGCGGCGTACCTTCAAAATGATGATGAGGCGTATCTTGGCGGTGGCGTGAATGAACTGAACGTCCCGAGAGACGGTCAGACGCTTCGGGAGCTCGACACGCCCGTAGAGCATCTTGAGGAGATGTAGTAGCTCCGGGTCTTCGATGATGCTGAACGGGCGATGTCGCCTCGCACACCACATCGCGATGCAGAATCGTACACGTGGGTACGAGTACTGCGAACCTTGGCCGTATGCGCTGATCATCTCTGTCTGCGCCGTCTTATCAGGCTCGCAGCCTCGGACGTGACGGCCCAGGTTGCCGGTCGAGTCTTCGTAATCAGCACGGTCGACGTGCTTCAGCGGATGCCTACAGAAGCGGAGGTGTGTATTAGTGAAGTACTACGAAGGCTATATAAGGAGGCTTACTTTTTGCAGACGAACCGGTGCATGACCGGTCCGCCGGGCGTGGCGCGATGGATTACGGGCGGTCGGAAGTGGGCGTAAGCCTTCGAGTACCATTTCTTCGAAAGGCTCTCTGTATAACAGTAGTGTAAGTGTTTGCACGGACGAGTACACGGTGCGACGCACCTAAGATTCGCTCGGGGGTTTGCTTGCCCCACGTCCTGAGGAACTTCGCGCGCTTTCGCGCGGCGGTCGTCACAGGCGCGTCGTTGTCTTCAGCAAGGAGGGCGCGGGCGGCCACAGCCTGGACACCGTCGTACGGGTCATCCTCGTCGACGCCTGAGGATGGGTCACCTCCGCCATCGTCGAGCTCGGGCGAGAGCTCTCTGGTCTTCTTCGCAGCCGGTCCCTCCCCTGTGCCGGACGGGGCGGGTGACGAATCGCGGGCACGTTTAGATGCGCGGTTGGACATAGCTGGTGCGAGTGAGGACGGCGTGTGAGGGGGTGATGAGAGTGGCTGGTGAGCGAAAAACGAACGGCCGTAGACGACTTTTATATTGAGTACCCACCGGCTGGAAATTGCAACAAGTACGTGCTCTTGGGGCACCCGCTATGCGCCTCAGGATGGCTCAGTAGCTGGACCTGCGGCAGGCAGTGTCCGCAACCCGGTCAGCAGCCTGACACAGACAAAACAGTCGGACAGGCTTACCCGGGGCCCGTCCTCTGACCTGCAACCCACTGGTCATGCTGCCTAGGTTTCTCGGGTGCTGTCGCTCCGCTGATAGGGCTTCGGTGGACGATCGAGTGCCTGTTGCATGTTCGCATCGTGGAATGGGGGTGGGTCAGCTGTAGTACCGGGCTTGTTCTACTCGAGAGCGAAATATCGGTGATTTGAACGATCACCAGTACGATATCGGGGCCCTGGAGGGTGACTAGGTAGGCCCAGTGGTGATTGTCGAAGCCTAGCGAATATTTGACCAGGCGACCGTCGTACGGTGGGGCAGCCAGGCTACACCGGTCGCAGTTGTGACCTAATCACAGTCACAACTGTACAGGCCGCTACCCACGGTGAAGCCTGTCACGTAGAGCGCTGGTCAGACGTCCGAGACGCTCCCCTGCACCCGTACTTGCTGCACAACATACTCCTATACGACCCCCAAGGCAACAAACACAGCCAACCACTGAGGCCTGAGGACATCACAGCCGGGCCTTACACAGCGTCTAACATCAGGATAAACAAATACCAACGGTGTGATCGCGATCTTGGGCGTCTGCATGAGGTGCACGAGTTCGCATTCTACGCCGACTACATGCTAACAACTCGCCAGCACGCTCGCGTAGGCGGGGCCCTCATTTTTCCTACCTTGATGCCCCTCGACTACCCGGCGGACCTATGTGGGTCATTGCGACTACCTGGGGGGATTTCTATTCCGCCTGAAGACCGATGTCAAGTGAGGGCTAACCGCGATGCAACCGCGGGCCGAGTGCATAGCTGCAACACCCCAACGATCGTGAACGGACACACAACGCCGAAGAATCGTAACACGCACGCTTGGGCGCGGCGACGTGGTGCGCAGATTCGGCTGTCTGGGGCGCACGCGTTTTCCTGTTCCCGACTCGCCGAGCAATTCAGATACGACGACATCCTCGAACATTCCCCCACCAAACCCCATCCCTCTTGCCTTCTCCCACCTCGCACACGCCCTCCAGAGCTCATGGCAACCCTCTACATTCATCCTGGCCCGTATGGCCCACTCCTAGGCGACCCCGACAAGATTGCTCCGCAATTCGTCGTTCTCGTTCTCGACGGTGAGCCCGGCGACCTAATGGTGAGTACCAAGTACCTTCTTGCCGTGACCCCTGCTCATGCCAGTTACAGATGATCTTACCGACTTGCGGCATGGACCAGCTGAACTCGATGCTCTTTGAGCATTGGGTTCCAGCTATCCAAGGCCCGATGTTCGATAAATGTGACGGCACCGACGAGCAGCGCGAACTCCTGCTGCACATCGCCCTCGCCTACCACGCATTCAACGAAGGATTCCCCGGCGTGGACCCCCTCGACTACCTCCACTTTGCCGGGCGTCTCGTCGAGGTCGCGCTCTCCACGGAGCCCGATGAGGATGTGGAGGTCCGCATCGTCGAGCTTGTCGAGTGGCTGCATGAGTGCCTTCCCCAGGTGAGTGATTCACCATATTGCTCATGCATTATCTCACCCTTCCATAGGCCCTCTTTGAAGGCGCCCACATCCCGCACGTCACAAACGGTCCGTTGGGGAACGAAGGCTTCGCTTACTCGCTGGCAGGCGGTATCAGGCCGCTGGATCCCTGGACGTCACCGTGTGACATTGAGGCTTCCACGGGCGAGGGTTCTGGCTTAGGGGATGGTGAGATCGACGCCGATGATGTGGTCAGCAACGGCTCCATGCCCGATCTCGTAGATGTATCCGATGACGACTAGTACATTGTATCGCCTTCTGGCTTACTACTACGTGTCCTATTCCAACAACTTTGTTTGCCTTCCTTGTCTGTGTGACAGTGTCGGTGTGGGAACTCAAACTTGAACTCAAACTGCTCGAAAATATACGTAAAGTTTGGTCGATAAGTATATTGAAGGTCCTGTATAAGTTGTAGGTAATGTACAGGTACCTGTGCAGGGTGGTCCAGGTCTTTATATGTGATCTAGAGCTGGATATGATCTGTGGCTTAGGTGATCTGATCCAATTGATCTGGACACGTAGGTCACGGATCAGGGTCAAACGGTTCTACCTGAAGTTTGACCTGGACCTATGTTCAGCCTTATAGCTCAGTGAGTTTTTGTTGGGGAGTGATAATCTGTTTGTTTACAGTACCCGGAAATTGGAAGTTCACAAGCTATTTTCCTTCCCTTTCCGTGTTGAAGTAATACTTTCTCCAACATTTGAGATGATGGTGTAGGCTATCAGGGAATGATTACCTATCCCGCGAATGTAAAGGCCTTTACCCATGAAAATGGTATTGAAAGGTTGCCTTTCCCCCACATTTCACCGAGCTCGAAACACAAACGGGAAAGTTTGGCTGAAACCTGCTGGGAATAGTCGTCCAATAGGCACAACTTATGTTACATATGACCTCCTGCCATATCCATGCAAAAGGGTCGACCGAGGAAAACTCACTGGAGCATTTCCATCACCTTTCTTGTAACCATAATACCTCACGTGGTATGTGGTGCGTTCTGCGCGTCCCTAGCATGTTTGGCAGGGGAAAAAGCATGTTGGGGGTGTTGTATGTGTGTTCTGAGCCCAATGCCGAATTTTCGTGGGGGCTTCACGCTGTGTTCGACGCACTCAGCGCAAAGACCCCTCTGCACGAGGCTTTGGCCAGCATGTAAGAGTGCTTACGTGTTTGAAAGCACCCAAAACACCCAAAAAGCCTCCCATGCAGATGTCTTGCTGAACATGCAAAATTATCACCAGCACGACAAAAATTTGACGTGAGTGCTTGAAAGACTAATGCGCAGCTGTCGAGACCTTATTGACGAAAAATGACTGTGAAATGCCCCTATACGAGTGTGCCCAAACAGCCGTGACCCGCCTGTCACAATGTCCGAAATCCGGCCCAAAATACACCAGATGTTCTGGCAGCAAGCTTGCAAGTGCCAGAACGGATGGGAACAAGACTAGGTTGTGGGCAGTGCCCGCCGGTCCGATTCCACCAGCCTTCTTTGAACAACTTTGACTTTTGAACAAATGCAAGTATATTAAGTTACTTGAAAACAGATCTGTTATTGAATTTATCCTCTGTATGAGCATGAGAGCCCAGTTGTCTACACCGGATACTGCTACTTACTGAGCAAGAAGGGACCAAGGTTGTTAGTGCGCTGAAGTGACCACTATGAGTGCCAGATGTAAATAAAAATCAAATACCGATCATTCAATGATGGCTAATACGTAGAGCTGAAGAGACATTGATTCTGCAATCAAGGGTGAACGAAAGACATAAACAACAGGAACAAATACAAAGGGTAAGCCAGAGCATCCATAATAGCCAATCAGCCATGGGTATAGCAGAGCCAATGAGATACGAGATCGGTGCAACTGTCTGCTTAGTAAGCAAAGGGAAAGTCACGATGATAAAACCCGATTCCTAAAGTGGAATCGTAATGCTATAATTCAAGCTCCATTGGGTAGCTTTGTGTCTTGACTTTTTGTAGGTACTTTTTCAATACATTAAAGACCCAATGTTAAATTTATGAAGTATTCTTTACCCATATCTTGTGGAAACAGTTTTAAAAAATAGGCGTTCAAAAAAGGCAAGATCTAAGATTTTAGTATCTGGTATAGCTCCCCTTGGCCTTCAAAGAAGCTGTGATCCTATCAAGCATAATGTAAACCACTGTGATGTCAGCAGTTTCACTAAAGCAGACTAAACACCAAAATAGAAACAAGCCTTCATTGCCATATGATAAGATTAGGGATACAGGAGTAATGCAGAGTGTCGCAGACATCAGCAAAACGGAGATCAGATGTAGTGGACAACAGACCAATATGGAGGTGGTAGAGCAAGTGCCCACCACTTGTGCCAGGGGTGCTGCAAGACTATGTAAGATGCTAGAGCACTTGGAAATATGTGGCGGAGATTTATATCTCTCAGTGTGTTGATACAGCTGCCTGTAATTCCTTGTAAATCAGTGGCTGTGGGGGAAAAAGCTTCAAGTAGAAGTTGCTGAGTCATCACATGACTGAAACTGCAATGATGCAGTTGTGTCCAAGTTGCATCTCCTTTTGACTCTGAGTCCCTTGACTGGCCCCCTCGGTACTTGTTGCCCTATGCCCCTACATGTCGAGCTATATAAAGACCACTAGAGCCCTTGACCCTGCTCACTGCTTCTCGTCCTTGAACCACCATCCACAATGTCCCCCACTTGGAGCTCCCCTCCCTGTGTTATTCAATCACCCAAGTCACCCTCCTTCCACCATTGCTCTTCCTCGCACACCATGAATATACTAAGGTGAGTAAAAATCAGTCCTGATATGTGTGCTTCAATGTGGGGGGATATTACCCTTTCATATATGTGCATATATTGATGTTTTATTCCTGGTAAGCACCATTATTCTTTCGCTTTGAGTGCCTCTTGTAAATTCTAGTGCACCATGTATTTTTCACATTTTCTACACTGTATGTGGATCAATGCCAGTTCTAGATCAAGGCTTGTGATCTGCAAATACCTGTAGGTACAGGTCCAGATCACCTATGGATCAACCTATGTGCAGCCTTATTCTGGAGAGAACTGCATCGACTCATGGGAGTCAAATTAATGATGTCCACCTCTTTCCATCCTCAGACCGACGGTCTGACGGAACGGACTATCCGTTCCATTACTCAAATTCTGAGGGCATTGGTCTCTCCGGACCAGCTCGATTGGTACGAGAAGCTACCACTAGCAGAATTCGCGCTGAATTCAGCGACGAGTTCTACTACGGGTTTTGCACCGTTCGAACTGAACTACGGATACTTGCCCCGGTCCATGAGTGGAATTCGAACAGATACTCCGTTTCAGGGAGTGCGTGAGTTCGCCCAGCGAGCTCTGGCTAACCTCGAACGCGCTCATGACGCTATTATCGAGTCCCGGATCTCTCAGGCTTATCACGCCAACAAACACCGGCAGGCTGAGCCGGAGTTTGAGGTCGGCGACCTCGTATACCTGTCCACGAAGAACTTATCAGTTCCGAAAGGACGTGCACGAAAGCTCGTGCCCAGGTTCATCGGACCATACAAAGTCCTCGAAAGCTTTCCGAACACGTCGAATTACGTGCTAGACCTCCCACCGGAGCTTAAGAACCGACGCATTCACCCGCGTTTTCATGTTTCCCTCCTGCGGAAACATGAGGCAAACAACGATGCGTTGTTCCCTAAGCGGGAGGCCCGCGCATTCTACGACTTCGGAGCGGACGATACCGCGGAATGGTTGGTGGACGAAATTGTCGGGCACGAATGGACAGGACAAAAGTGTCAATTCCATGTGCGGTGGACGCTCGGAGACCACACCTGGGAACCTTATGAGCACTGTAAGGACTTGGCCGCACTAGACGAGTATTGTCGTCTTATGGGTGTCAAGAACTGGCGCAGTCTACCCCGTAAGAAGTAGTTGCAGCCGCAACTGAACACTTAAGTAAGTGTTGGTCGGGGGCGACCGCAGGGAACGGAATAGAGTAGACGCGCGTCGGCACGGACGAGCGCGATCACATGGGCGCGAGACGCGACACGTCGCGGGGATCTGGCAGATCGGGCAGAGATTCGAACTCCGCCGGCGCTTGCGAGCTCGCCGTCCTAAGCGGCGAGCTCGCTATGTCGCAAGTCGATCTCTGCCACCTCACCACCATCCACCCACAACGCACCCGCCCGCGACATACACCATGTCCAACCCCTCCTCGCCCACTTCCAACCAGACCGAGATGGTCTTGGACCCAGCGGCGCAGAATGCGCCTCAGCAGCAAGGCGCTGCGATGCAGCCGGACTCAGCTGGGTCCCAACAACAGCTCCCCGCGCCATACCAGGTGCCCAACCAGTACGCAGGGGCGGGGCCGTCGCATGCGCCACTACACCCGATGGCGCAAGGCGGGTTCCCGCACGCGTACGCCTCCCCGTACGGGGCACCGCTCCCCTACCAGCACCAGTCGCCGCCAACAGTATCCTCGGCCGCACTGCACCCAACGGTGCAATATGCTCACGCGCCCGCATCGTCGAGCATGCCAGGGCCCGACCGGTCGAACGCAGCGCCGTTCCTGCCCCCTGGAATGCCCCCGCTTATGCCCATTCCAGGTATGTCGTGGGCAGCGGTCCCCAATCACCACCTCCTTGTGGCGCACTCGGCCGGATGCAGCTGTTGCACGGAGTTCGTGCGACACTACCAGGCGGCGATGAACGACTCCTCGTTCAGGAACGCGTTGACTGCGGTCCAAACCCAACTGCAGTCGCAGTTTTGGGGATATTTCGAGGAGCATGCACGCTCCAGGGAGGGAGAGAACCGCGCCGAGCATACGCGGCAAGTAGAGGACTTGGAGCGGCAGCTCCGAGCAGCATTGGCAGAAGCCACCTCGCTCCGCGAACGCGCTCGAGTCAACACCGAGCTGGAGCAGGAGCTCAATGCCGCACGGGCGGAAACGACGACTCTTCGTCAGGACCGCGACCGATATCGGTCGGAACGCAACCAGGCCCGGGAGATGCTCAATGACGAGAATCGTCTCCGGGCTCGTGCGAGCCAGACTCGGCCCAACCAAGCTAGGCGGGTCCCCGCAGTGCCGCCTGGTCACCCCGACTTCCCTGAGTCGCCGGAACGGGGGTATCCAGTGAGATCGTCGCGGTCGGCGCGGGACAATAGTCCACGCCGACCGTCCTTGATGGTGCCTCGTTCGACCGAGTCGGGTCCGTCGAGGGATCGGGATGAGCCCATGTCTATGACGGGGTCGTCTCCAATGTCCCGGACGGCGGGTCCTTCAAGGGCCCCGCACCGGGCGACCGATTCGACGCCGCCGGCGTCTGCACCGGAAGCGTTGGGGTCGTCGAGTCGGCATGCGGCCACTGGATCGGGTCCCACTGTGGACTTCCAAGACTTCGAGGAATTGTCCTCTGGGGACGACGAAGAGGATCTCTTCGACGAAAAATACATTAAGAAGAAGGCAGCACGTAAGGTGCGACAGAACGCGGTGTATGGGACCCCGTTGGCCCCGCCACCAAGGCCACCCAACTATTCGAGTGATGGACGCTTTCCGCGTCCTAGGATCACCGGATGGCCGTACCATATGCTCGCAGTCCCTGAGGACTCTAATCCTCGCGAGGCGGACCATTGGTACGACTTTGTACCCGTCACCCCGGAGGATGCTCAGCGGCTGCTGAGGGCCACAGCGACCGATATGGGTCAGGCGCGCGCTCGAATCAAGCACTTGCTTCAGCAAGTTCAGAGGAATTCGGTGTTGCAGGGTGTCCAGGGTATCCGTGCCCTCGCAGACGCGTGGCGGAACCCGGACAAGGCTCCCTACCTGCCGACCATCATGCACCCGGCAGCGTACACCCCTCCAGGTATGGAGTTCGCGGACACCTTGCATCTGCCGCCTCCCACTGGACGCCGTCCAGGCATACCTCCGAACGTCATGAAGACGACCCGCCCGGAGCAAGACCTGAACGGACCTCGTCGACAGCAGCCGCGCACCACCGACCCCCCGGAAGCTCACCGCGAATGGTGGAGGTCCTATCAGGACCGCATCCCTGTGTGGATGGAGCGCGCGCAGGATGGCGGACCGACACTGGTCTCAGCGCAGTTCTTCGTGTACACGCGGAACCCGATCGCACGGAACCGTGGAGTACCGGAGCGGGCACGCTGGGTCACGCTGGCGACCGCACTGTTCTCGGTGCCGGGACTGTATCGGCACATCCTGCAGCACTGGCAGTTGCAACCCCAGGGCCTGTACTCTCATGCATACTACACGGGGTCGCTCGACGACGACGACCTGACCGTCTTCCACGTCGCACACTGGTACGCGTCCCAGGGGCTCACAGTCGCCTTAGCCGACCTGTTCCAACGTCCGGCGCACCGCGCTCGTGCTCAGCAGGCGGGTTTGGACGCCAACACCAATGTCCTGGCGTTCCCCGGGATCGTCTCGGCCACGAGCGCGGGCCCCGTACCGCCCATAGCCTCGCTCGGCATGCGCGGCTTGGCGGTTAACCCCGCACTCGCCTTCTTACCCGCCGCACCGATCATCGCGCCAACCGTCGCGCCCGCACCCGCGCCCGCACCCGCACCCGCACCCGCGCCCGCTCCCGCACCCGCACCTGCAACCGCACCGACCCCGGTGCCAAACCCCGCCGCGCCTACTCAGATGGACGTCGATCAGTCGGCTCAGACGGTCGACAACATCGCCCACAACGCGGCGCGACAAGAGCCTGAGGGGGATGCTGCAGCCCCGGAGGGTGGTAACCACACGGAGCAGATGGACGAAGAGTCCTGAAGCCCCATATACCCAGACGAATGCGTCCATACCCACCAGTACCGCCTGGTACCTTCATCCGCCCAGACGTCGCACCAGCGTCATGGTGTATATATTGGTGCAGGACGCAGTAGCGTCCACCCTTCCCCGCGGACACTTCGCGAAGCACCGCTCGGACGGTGTGCCCCCGTCGCGAGTCAGTACTCAGGGCATGGACGACGCTCGTCCTCCTAGGGTGTCGAATGCGACGCGCCTAGTGTACATATAAAAGCGGCCTCATCGCCGCACCCTTGTATTATAGGGCCTCTGCGAGTGCAGCGCAGAGGACCCGTGTATTATACTGTGCTACCGCCACTCCGAGTTGTGGCCCTTCCTCATTGTATATTAATTTTGAGACCCCACCACGGGTCTAGGGGGGGAGAGTGTAAGAACCCGTCGGTTCTATCATAACCAGACCTTGATAGGTCGTGCGCGGAGGACGAGTAACCGTCATCAGTAAAGGAGACCGATGTCTCCGAGAACCTCGGAGACCCAGGGCGCATAGGTGCCCTTAGATTAGATGGGCTACATCATGTATCTTACGTAAGCGTACGACGCCCCAAGGTTCGGGCCTTGGGCGTCTGGTGGGGTTGACTTCTACCAACCCCACCATCCTACGAGTACGCTGAGCAATACAGCCCGGTCCAGAGTACTTGCGGGATACCGGGGACCGGTAGAGGTCACATATACTTACATGTTGGAAGTCTGCAGGTGGGAGTCAGGTAACACATCATGTAACAATTCCTCCTACTGTAGCTATATGACCAATTTGGTGGGTCACCGGTCACATTGACCTCTGCCACACTGCTTTCAGGCCCTTGTCCTAGGCCACTCGGCCCCCCCCCCCCCTACCCACCACCACCACCACCACTTTGTCCAGTGGGCCGCCACTGGTTGCACTGTTCTTAGGGCCTGCTGACAGCCCCTGTGGGGCTGCCACACTGCTTTGTGCCCACTGATCACACAAAAACCCCTCACTGAAATGGTCATATAGCTACAGTATTCTATCTAAGTCATATTGTAAAGTGCCCATAGAAAAATAAGAAAAACAGGTACCTGTGATCTAGTGACCTAGACCTAGTACCTACAGATCAACCTACATATGATCTGTGTTTGTATGTGTCTTATAATATGTTTGAGATATACTGTACCAAGGTATAATCAACACATTCCTGAACACCACAACTGGCTTACCTTTCAGGTGTAGACTAACACACATTCCTAAATTTCAATATACCTTCAATATTTACAGATGGGACTTGCACAAAGAGTGGAGACACAATAATAGACCAAGAGCAAAAAGGATATAAAGAGACATATACCACAAACCAAAGATAAATGTCCAGCCCTGAGAAGTACAAGGCTTGTGCCCAGATACAATGCCTTAAATTCTTCAAAATGGTTATGCCAACATTGACAACATGTAACATTTTATATAGATTGTACATAATTCTGCACTTGTTCAAGCCACAACATATGAATAATACTTGGGCTATAGCTGGATATGTGAATTCTGCTGCACTACACCACAAATGATACATTTTTTCCACCAGTCTGCACTTTACTCAGCTTATATCTTCAATATACAGATCATATAGGTCAGCTTTCTAGGTCAATGATTTCTGCCAGCTTTGATCTAGAGCTGGGGTTGATCTACATACTAGGTACCAGAACCTAGATGACCTGAACCTACAGGTAATTTTCAGGTCAGATCAGGTCAACCTATGCAGTGACCTGAACCTATGTGCAGCCTTACTCCAGAACTTTGATGTGAACTTGCTGTCTCTATCTGAGACTATGGACTCGGGTAGTCCATGAAGTCGGACGACTTCACGCAGATATATCATGGCCAGCTCGTCGGCGGTATTCGTGGTATTCACTGGAATAAGATGGACCATTGAGGTCAGACGGCATACTATCACCCAAATGTAGTTGTAGCCGTGCGACGACGGAAAAGGACCAACAAAGTCCATTGAAGTGGACGTCCACGGTTGTCGTGGAATGGGTAGGTTGTGTAACAACCCTGATGGCAACTGGGTGGACGACTTCACGGTGTGGCAGGTGCCACAACTGAGACAATATTTGTCTACATCCTTCCGCAACGCTGGCCACCAGAACCAATGTCGTACGTATTCCGACGTACGTTGAGGACCGAGGTGTCCCAGCGCCGTATGCGCTTGATTCAGTATCAGCTCGGGAATCGAGCGGCCCTTGTGGATGGCCCGGGGAAGACAGACGACTTCCTCGTCTTGACGGTTCTTGGTGTAGATAATGCCGTCGCGTAATGCAAAGGAACTAAACCCCGCTGGGTTGCCTAATACCTTGGACAGTGCTCTGTCGGCGGTATACCCTTCGCGGATGGCTTGCCAGAAGCCCTCATCCGATTCTACGTATTTTTGTAGGGACGGACCACCAGCCAACGCTTCCGCAAGTGTCGGTGACTTTGGCTCGGACGTATTCACGTCGGGGGTAGTTGAAGTGGGTTGATGATGAGCATACTGCTCAGATTCAACTACTCGAGCTTCTACTCGGTCCGTCGGGACTGGAGCGTCCGTGGTACGGGCTTCGCGGGCTGCTTGTTGGCGGGTACGACGTAGAATACGTCCTCCTCGTAGTTCAATGAGTCGGGATTGGGGAAGGTCATCCCCGTCCGGATCCAAACGCGCATCGGCGTTGACCATATCATAGTCAGGAATCTCGTCATGATAGTTATCATTCTCGTGGTAACGAGATAAACAGTCCGCTACCTTGTTGAGTCTCCCGGGTACGTACGTGATATCGTACTTGAATCGCGCCAGATATTCGTACCAACGAATTTGGCGACGACTCGGGCGTTCTATGCCCTGCAAGAATTCCAACGCTTTATGGTTGGTTACGACGTGTATGGGACGTCTGAGGAGCTTGTCCTCCTGTAAGAACCCGTCGGTTCTTTCATAACCAGACCGTGCTAGGTCGTGCGCGGAGGACGACTAACCGTCATCGAGTAAAGGAGAACGAGGTCTCCGAGGTTCTCGGAGACCCAGGGCGCATAGGCGCCCGTAGATTAGATGCGTTACGTCATGTACCTTACATAAGCGTACGGCGCCCCAAGGTTCGGGCCTTGGGCGTCTGGTGGGGTTGACTTCTACCCAACCCCACCATCCTACGAGTACGCCGAGCAATACAGCCCGGTACAGAGTACTTGCGGGATACCGGGGACCGGTGGAGGTCACGTACACTTACACTTTTTTACTCTAGCCGCGAGAACGAACCTTCGTTCAAAGCATCAGTAGAGCTCGACGTCACCACGTCATCAGAACTCGGACGCCTTACGACAGCGTCCTGATATGGACCCCACGCAGCCTTCTGGAACTTCCAGCCGCCCTGAGCGAGCCCCTGGCAACCAACCAGGTTCTTCGCAACCTGCCACTTCGGGCGACGCAAACCCGCCGCCAACCGCGGCTCCTGGGCCTTCGGGCCAACCCCCATCTCCCCGGGGCGATCCCGCACGAAGTTTCGTGCCCAATCCACCCCCAGCACCGCAGGCAGCTCCTGCGAATTCGCCACGACGTAATACGCTGGAACCCGAGGCTCCGCGCGCACCGTCGCGCACTGGGTCTGTACGCTCGGCCCCAGGGGGTATTCCCCAACATGCCGAGCCTCCCAGGGCCCCCACTACGGACGCTCCGCGTCCCGGATCCACCAGTAATCTTACTGAGGATCTCGAGCAGATCGGTGATACCTGGGCCGATATTAGGCAGAACTCGCAGCGGCGAGAAACGATTCAGCCCGCGCCCGCGTTACGAATCATGGGATTCCTGCGCGACTCGGCGGAACGCTATAAGGCGTTGAGAGAGCAAGTCGTGCTCGCGGAGGCCGAGCTCAATGACCAGCTCGCTGCTTTCGAGCGAGAAATGAGAGAAACGGCCCAACAAGGGGCGGACCATACAGTGGGTCCCGGAAATAACGTCGAGGACGTTATTGATGCCACTCAGGTGGAGGCCCATCTGGCTGGCCCCCCGAGTCCAACACCCAGTGAGGTGCGCCGACAACAAATGGAGTACGATCGTGTGGAACGACTACGCCGGGCTGGACTTGGTCAAGTCGGTCCCATAGCGGGTCCCTCCCGCATCGTATCCCCCGCTCCTGGAGGCCCCGCACCCATTCGTGCAGAGCAACCCCGACGAAGCGTAGCTTTCGGACCGTTCGAACCGTCGAACATCACCGCACCTCCGGACTGGGATCAGTACGAATCGGCGTCGCAGGCTCCCCGGAGAGATCATAGACCTGCCACGTCTACGGCGATACCCCAACAGTTCGTACTGCGACCGCGTCGGTCCATGGCCCCTGGTGTCTCTGTACACCCCGGACTTCCGGTTGTCCCTGAGCAGGACCTAAACCGGTCCGAGGAGCTGGCGTACACCGGTCCCAGCTACGGACCTCGCGACACCCGTGAAGTCCAACGGCTTCTTGGGATGATTGACGAAATGGTCGGAGAGGAACCTACCTCCAGCCCGCCGGCCTATTTAAAAGTCACGAAGATGACTCTCCCGAAGCCGTATGCGGGCAAGGATGATCTCGACGCCTTCGAGATTTGGTTTCATAACCTCCTCGAATTCTTCCGTACACTCCGGATAACTGGTCCTTCCATGGACCGTGATCGTCTACGAATACTGGGCGACTGCTTGGCCGACGACGCGGCCACTTGGCTGTACAATACGGTACAATCTCCTTCCCGTGAACGTCGGGAGTGGCTGTTCGAGGAAGCCATAGTCGGTTTATTCCGACGTTTCATCCACCGAGATAATCATCTCCAAGCTTCTCAGGAGTATGACAATCTGAGGTTCGAGCCCAATAAGGGCGGTGTCGCCGCGTTGTACGAACGCTTACTGTACATCACCGAGAAGATGTGGGAGAAGCCCTCTCCCTTCCAGATACGTTGCAAGTTTATCGAGACGTTGCCCGTCAGCTATGAGAATACTCTCACTGTACTTAACGGCCTCTCCGTTAAATATAATAGTTTATCTCAGCTTTATCAGGCTGCCCTCGAGATCGAGCAGAGTTCCCGGGCGATACAACAACGCCGTCGCATCCGCGACACCACCCCGGGAACCAACAATCCCTCGTCGTCGAACGACCATCGCACCGCCCGTTCGAACAATACCCAGCCACGGAGACCTCCCGCGGCGGAGCCCTCGCCTAGGACGAATTCGTCCACAGTAAGGCGACATGGTCCGTCTCGTACGGCTCCAGGTCGCACCGATCGACCAAGACCCACTCCCGGGCAGGTATCTCGTCCCGCCCCGAAGCCTGCAGCCACCAAGGCAGCATCGCAGTGCTTCTCGTGCGGGCAAATCGGGCATTTCGCATCAGACCCGGCTTGCCCCAACCATGGCAAGAAGACCATTCCTGGTCAGCGCATGTTCGCGCAACGGGTAGTGGACGACACTTCGGACAATGAGCAACCGGACGCACCCATCGGGACACAGACGGTCGAGTTCGACCTGGCCGATGACGCAGGCACTCCGGAGGACACCCAGGGGCTGGATCCAGAGGCCGAAACGGTCCAGGACCTCCCTCAGTCCGAATTCGAATTCGTAGGATCGCAATACGAATCCGCGGACGAACAAGTCCAGTCGGAATGGGAAGATTTCGAACACGACGACGCCGTGTATATGGCAAGCATGCGAGTTGAGGCAATCGCCTCAGAAGGATCGGCAAACGAGCCAAGGATCCACAGTATGGCTATTGCCAATGAACGCGGTCTGCGTCACGCCTGGATCTATGACGCAAAAGTCCGCAAGATTGAGGACCCGGCGGCCCAACCCCAACGGGTACACGAGGCTCAACGCACGCTATGTGCGGAGATACCGATCAACGGTATTAAAGCATTAGTGCTATTCGACTCGGGCTGCACTACCGACTCCATTACTCCGGAGTTTGCGTATCTGTGCAAGGCGGGCAGGATTGACCTGCAGGAGCCAGTAGGCCTCCAGCTGGGGACTAAGGGTAGTCGTACGAAGATCAATTTCGGGGCGCAAGCCGAAATCGCACTGAACTCAGTGCGTGATACACATTATTTCGATGTCGTCGATATCGACAAGTACGACGCAATATTTGGGACAGTATTCTGTCGTAAGTACGGTATCGTACTGGACTTTGCGAACGACCGGGTGTTGGTCGGGAAGCAGAGCATTCCCTTATTCAAGGAGGAGGCCATTTCCTCCAAGACACCAAAACGGTCGTTCAAGGAACCTATTAAGTGGGTAACCGAGAACGGACCGTTGGTCCAATAGGGGAGCATGGCGAAGTCCACGAAAGTGGAACCTCCCCATACGCGCTATGCAGGACCGCAAGGGTCATCGGAAGGGGGAGGGAACGGCAATATGGCCGTGACAATTCCGGTTCGACACCAAGGGCGAGCCGTCACCAGCTCTGCTCCTGTAATTACAGAGCGCATAGTACCGACGATGCACTCGTCGAAGGGTCCACGCAAGGACCGCTTCGGATTCGATGACCCATATGGGGTCAATGAGATGCTAGATCGCATAGCGAG